TGAGCTGGTGGGGGTTGGCTGACATGAATCAGCATTCTGTCCGGGGGGTACACTTGGCAAAAATCTTTAAAATTGTGCCCGGCGTTCGCTTCTTCAAAATCTATCCAATTTTAGATCAATTAATTCCATTTTCCTCACTTGTCTTCTGAATTCATACCCGTTTTCGGACCTGTCTTCTGAAACTTGAAATTGGTTTCATAATTCTGCTCGAATGATAAAGTTGGCTACTTTTATTTCTCCATTCGACGGTTGGAGTTGAAAAGCAAAAAATAAGTTTATCTGATGATACGCTCTCCTGGTTTCCCGAAAATTATACCTAATTTAAGGCCAAAATATGTACAGTTTGTATCCGTTTTCAAACTAAAACGACACAAAAATCATATCCTTTGTTGCGGCTCATACCGATTTAGGTTAATAATACATATGGAAGTTCCTGCCATATCAAAATTGTATTTCTTGCACAATTCCCTGTGGATCAGTCACTAAAAATTAAGAGTATCATGTGTTACACCCCAGCCTGAGGGCGAGCTTTGTACTACCTCTCAGAGCTTTGTTAGATCGAGTTTAGTAAAATTAAAACGAGAAGCCAATCAGATTAAAGAAAATCATACGACGAGAAGCTTAAGCGAACTCAAATTTGCAAAAACAAGGAAAGCAAAGCCTAGGGCGCAGGAAAAAGCTATGGATCAAGTCGCGATTGGTTCTTCGTCACTTATCTGATTGGATTGTTTGAGAGGAATGAGTCTTCTAGATCAGCTTGTCTAGGGGCCGAGACACAAAATGTACTATTTGCATCCTAATTAAAACAATAGTACATTATTTTTCATTGTTTTCCGTCTAATTTTTTTTCAATTTTCATTTCTACTTTTCCATCCCAGATTGGTCTCTTTCTACTTTGACCAGACAGAAATTGAAAGAAACGCAATGCAGTGTCTTCTAAAGAAAACGACGTAAGATGAAAATAGTTTTTGATGTGAACTTTGGCAGACGTAATCGATGCAACATTTACGCCGTCTACACGAAAATATTCACGAGGAAGTTCGAGAAAAAGTTCTCAAAGTTAATCCCTTTGTCCACCCAACCATCTACTAAAATGCCCATTAAAAGAAATCAGGAGCAGCAAGACACAAGGTTTCATTTGAAAACGTACACAAATACGTGTGCATATTTGATAAATTACATCTTCATGTGAATTTTGTCATATGTTCTTGCGTGAATTTTGAAATTTCGATGACGTCAACCTTAAAGTGCTCAGAGCTGTTACCATATATAACCATGCCAGTTTTTCTCTAATATGTCGTGACTTTGTCACGCTCAAGGACCATAAATAACGATTCATTGACGTCACTAGTCTGGAAACTTCAAGTTTGTTTTCGCTCAGTCTAGTTTGAGGATTATTTTAGGAGTAATCGCGTGAAATTATAAAGGAAAAAAAACTTGATAGAAAAAGTTAGTTATTCTGTATGCAGGTTCACTTGAAATGGTGCATCGAGGGTGTCCGATACTATTCTCAAGATCTGGAACTGTAATTCCCAAACGAAAATCCTTTTTGTGTAAACTGAAAAAATATATTGCGTGACAGTCCAAAGGTACGTCGCTCTAATCCTTTGAGGAAACTTTGGGTGGCCCAGCATGATGATTATTAAATAATTAGAGTCAAATTGCAAATGAACTTTGACTTCGAGAATATTCATGATTCTGTTTGTTTATTATTCTGAGTAATGAATAAGAGGTCCAGTCCCCTCCTTCGCGTTCTTGGCATTTCTCAGGCCCTTATGTTAAAATGCCTTTTCAACATTGTTTTTCCTAAGAATCCCTCATCTAGGTCTTTCCATGAGAAGGGGCTTATATTTCAACTCAATGTCTCTACGGATCTCCCCTCTAACACCTCTAACATTTAATTGCTGGGAGTGATCATACCCTATGAGAAAGCGAACTCCATCCCCATTCCCCTCCCCCCCCTCCCCCCCACCGTCAAGCTGTAGTTCAGGAACTTGAATAATTTTAATTTGAACAAAATATGGCGGCACTTTCAAGTAATACTATCTTAAATAAAATCCTCAGTTTGTAGACATGAAGCCTGTTTAGACTAACTGGAATACAACACTAGTATTTATTGGTCAAATTGTTAATCAAGTCAAAAAATCTTTTTTCTAACTTCCTTCTTTCTATCAATTAGTATACCTCCAATTTATCCTTTTTCGATCAGTTCGATAGGCGCACGACGTTTAGTTCTGCAGTTCCAAGATTTTCGACGATACCTTGATTGACAGAAACCCTGTTACGCTTGTAAACACTCTGATGAAAGGGAATTTTGAAAAAGTTGCGGAAATTCTTCCCAGCAAACTCACAAGTTTTGATCCTTTCGCCAGCCGGCACGATTCAAAGAAACTAAAACGTGAAAATCTCAGAATGAAACGACCGATCATGAAAATGGTAGAGTTGTAACAGCATATTTATCAGTTGAGTAACACTTTTACATCTGAAAGCTGATTGGACAAGAAACATTGTATATCATGTCATGCTCTGCCTCTTAGTGATCTTCTGGTCTTTTATCAATTTTTGATTTTTGTGGCGTTTCCATTTTGTGACAAATTTTTAATGACAGCTGCTTCGAAAATCCTGGATTCCTTTATTAAATTTAATTCAAGCTGAAAACCCGATAAAAATTTTTTTCTTTCTTTTCTTCGAATATTAATTAAGAAAAATTAATTTACTCTTTTTCAGGTCAGAAAAGGTTTTTCACTGAGAGGGATTTAAGTGATTAAGTTTTCACATAAAATGGATTTCCTTCGAAGCTCTTCACCTTGTAATTTAGTTTTATTTTTTGGAGACTCAGAGTCAATTGATTTCTATCTGCGATCGATCTGAGTCGATCAGAATCCATTCTGGCAGCTATTAAAGAAAAGTGTTGCGTGCATCAAAGTGAAGATGGCAGAGTGTGTAGAGAGAAGTTCACTTGGAAAGCCATTTCCGCGGCACCTTTTAGAGATTAGATGGCTTAAGGCGATAAGAAAGAATGGATGGGAAATTTCGCAAGCGATTGAGATCGCTAGCTTTATAACATGCATGAATGGCGTCGTGAAAGCCCCCAGCGTCATGGCTACCAATCAACTCTTAACCCGATAATCATGACATTTTCCAATCCTAATGTTTATGCAGCATTTCATAATACTTTCCTCCTCCTAGTTTATTAGCTGTCGGAGCTGGTCAGAACCGTAATCTCTAAGGAAGAAAAAGGAAAACTTTGGTGACCTCGATCGCGAGCAAAACTGTTCTCAAAAACTTCTGTTCTCCAAAACTTCTGTTCTCCCATGGACGTTGCTTTAGAAGGTACGTTTCAACCTGTCGAAATCCTATTGATATATTTTTTCAAACGAATATGAGCAAAAATTCAAGTATTTTAAATGTTGCCACATTTTGTGATAGAAAAAGTTAAAAGCTGTCAAAATATTTTCCTCTATGTTTTACATTATGCGAGCAAAACCATTAGAAACTGTGTCAGTAATTCTCACACGCTAACAATACATGAAAATATGATGGTGTGTTTCTTCGCCATTAAAGAGTAAAAATAAGCAGTCATTTTTTAGCTATATGGCTGCCTAGAATAATGAAATGGTAGCAAACCTCTCTACTAATTAAATTTAGGAATTTGATTTGAAATAAAGAATTGCTG